ACGCACCTATTGTGATACAAGTAACACGTACTTATTTTGATATTGCAGTCGAATGACATCATAATTATTCATTATCAGTAACTGGCTAAATTATTTGCGATAAGCTTAAGGCTTATCATTATTATTTTATAAACCCACCAACCTTTCTCCATTTCTTCCTGATTGCTCAAAAAAAGAAGACAGAATTTATCAGTATCGTCTCATTTCAAAATTTTGTCTTGAAAAGAGAAAAATAATACTATTTGTACATTTTTAAGAATCATATCAAGAAAAGGAATGTTGCTATTATAAGCGATTATTGAAATGATATAATAGTTGACTATGTAACACACTCTCTCTCCCTCTCCCTCTCTCTCTCTCTCTCTCAGTCAATTCAAGAGGAAATGGATTTGAAATCTTTTTACTATAAGATGACAATTTTAAATATTTTTGTTAATTAAAAAATTTTTTATTCAAAATAAAATTTCATTTGTTGCTAGCAGAATTTGATTATTCTTTGTTTTTCCTGCAATTAAAATAGATAATTGAAATTTCGGAATTATTTTGTTCTTTTATTTGCAAAATTTAAAGTTATCCAATTATTGATTTGATTAAAGAAAACAAATAGTATAAAATAAAAAAAAAATAATTTAAATTCAATAATAGTTTACTTAATGAATTGTTTCTATTTTATTTTATTTATTTACTTTACTCATTATTTGTTAGTTGTAATCTTTAATTGCACAATTTCTTGACAACAATAATGATGATAATGTATGATACAAATGATAATGATCACAATAATAATGATAATGATAACAATTCAATTAGCATGTAAATATAAAATTAAAAATTTTTTAAATTATAAAAAATTTAAAAAAAAATCATTTTATTAAATTAAATAATTGTTTCATTATGATCATAAAACAACAAATATTTTATGAAATTATTACTATTCCTAACTGAATAATACCGCCATTATCATCAACATTATCACTATCATTATCAACATTATCATCGTCATCATCATTATTATCATTGTCATTATTATCGCCATTACTAGGGTGAGCATTATTGGGTCATTGGCACCTCCTTCTTTACAGATGGCATCATTGTCACATATTCGATGGGTTTACAACAGCAACAACATCGTCGTCGTCGTCGTCGTCATCATTGGTATTCTTCAGCCAAATTCACTTTTCACAACTCATCAATCTCTATAACATACTGCTACACCTTCTCTTAATTATATTATACAAAAGATTATTTACTACTATTACTGCAACAACAACAATAACAATAACAACTGCTGCTACAAACATTATTACTATTGCCACGATAACTAATACAAATATTTTGAATACGAAAAAAAGAGAAAAGGTCAATATTGTTGACCTTATCGATTCATCGATTTGATATTTATTTTTTGCTGTAAATTTGCACTATTATTTGAAGAACTATTATTCCACTAAAAATTAATTGAAATTCTGCCAGTTATTCGTTAAATATATCTATATTATTCAAATTTACTGCTTTTTCTTCATAGCATAGATAAGCAGTAAATTTCATATTTTTCAATCAAATTTTCCAAGAAACTCAACCAAACAAGAAAATAAACAAAGAAAGAACAATGCTTTCATTATTGTCATTTATACAATTAATATGTATTATATTACCTGTTGAATACTTAATGATCACATATGCTTATGCTGAAAATGAAACTTTATTGGAAATTTATCGAACCACAGGGTAAGTTAATCTTTCCATTCTTTTTTTATCTCTACAAATATTTCTTCCCAATTTTTAAATTTCATAAATATGATACCGGAATTGACTAGAAATTTTCTTGATTCAAATAGCCTGATTTATTTCAGTTTCGAGATATTCTGTAAAAAATTCAGAATAAATTAGTTTTGGATAACATCTCTCTCTCTCTCTTTCTCTTTCTCTTTCTCCCTTCCTAGAATTCCTGAAATTATAACAATCATGAAATATTTCTACTTTTTTCTTACACTCTCACATTGCCGAGCTTATACCGATATAATTTCGTCGAATATCGTTAATGAATTTCATATTCAGTTTTGGTTAAAAAACTGATTTCCAGTCTTTTTCGAACTTCCCTTTTTTTATTATCATAAATTTATTCGAAACTGAACATATAACTGAACAAGAAATTAATACATTTAAGCGCCTGTATATATATATATATATATCCATAAAACCAGTTTTAGTGAAACAGAAATATAATATACTGAATTAACTTCAAGTTATTATCATTTAATAATAATAATTAGCAAAATACTACAATTCTTCAATTAATAATAAATTTGATTTAGGAATGTAAATTTGAAATCGAATTGACTTTCGGTAAATAACTTTAAATTAGGGAAGAAAAGAAAAGTTTCAACTTTCAAATAAAAAGGCTTTCATTAGGGAATTGCTTCAAATGAATAAATGAATCGATTTAATTATTTATTTGTTTATTTCTATCATATCGCACTTTTGGAGGTAGAAAAAAGTGAAAAGAGAATTAGGTTTTCGTCTCTTGCGATAATTCCCATATGAAAAGTGTATTTGCATTTAAAGCTATGGATGAACTTATTGTACTTGGAAAAAAGCTGGCAAAAAAAGAATTAATTTTGGGTGATTGTGACAGATGCGAAGCAATTTTAATGCTAACATATTAAATTGAGGAAATTTTTATTGAAACTTTCAGAGTTTTATTTAATTCGGAAATTATTATTCAGATTTCTAATTTATAATAAATATATTATTTAATTTTATAAATGAAAAATTGCATTTGAATGATTTTAGAAAATTTGCATATAATTTATTGAATTTTAAATTTGCTTAATGAAATTTATGAAATTGTTATGGTTGAAATGTAATGAAATTCCATTGAGACAGATATTTTGCAGCCTATTAAAAAATGATTTCTATTTTTCATTTCCAAAAATGAATTGCTTTAATATAAAAATTCATTTTTAGCTTCGCAGTTTTTTGAAAAGAAAATTTTTTTGCAAAATTTAAGAATTGATAAATCAACGCGAAAAATTGATACGACGAAACGAAAGGATTTGTTGAATGATCGCGAAATTATCGACAATTTACTTCGCAATTATCGATTTCCAGGTAACGGCAAATTTTTCAGAAAGTGAAAGATTCTGAATTTGCTATTTTCGGATAACTGGATGTTTTAGATTTACAAATGAAGATAATTATGTGAGAAGTAACCTACTTTAAGATTATCAGGTGATTTGGATACGGCAAGCTTATGATAATGATAACTTCAGATATTCATAAGGATCATTTCATTTTTCACACAGCATTTTTACGGGTCATTTCATATTTCATAAGGAATATAATGAAGCAATAGTCGTTCATTCAGACTCTTTTTCCTTTACTAAATTGTCCGCGACCGATATTTCCCATATAAAATACACCTCATAACTTTGCAGTGCATAATGATATACATTGTTATGGTTATAACACCGTATTAAGCCTCTTCATCGCTTTCTTCCTTTTTTAAAAGTATTTATAATATTTGAAAGTATTAAAATGACTATTACGTACATATTACTCATATCCACCTATTCACGTGCACGTACATTATTATCATATAACTTCAATGTTGCAATACAACGTTCACCAGATATAAAGCAAAGTCTTTTTTAAAAAAAACCTCCATTTTTTTCACTTCTTAAATTTTATATTATTGATTAATTATGAGTGAATTCTTTAATTTCAGATTCATCGAATAATATAACTGTTACAGTAGATATTTCAGTGGATCGTATATTGAATGATATGGAATATGAAGTTAGTAAAGATTTTCTATTTTAAAAATTTTTTAGTAAGAAAAGAATTCATGTTTCAACATTTTGAAATTTTCTTCATTTATTTTTCCTTCTTTTCTATTTTCAAGTAAATGATTATTAATGATTTATAGCTTGTAATGATCGGAGTGAGAGAGAGAGAAAAAGAGAGACGGAAGAAAAGAAAGAGAAATAAAACGATATAATGAGTTTTGGTTTCATTTTCATTTTACTAGCAATTTACATTGTAATACAGAAACTAATGTATAAAATGCTTACATTCTTAAAGGTAAAAAATCTTTGGTATCGTAGGACGTGTATGTATGAATATTTGCGTGATACGGAATGTGTATGTATGGATATTTGCGTGATATGTGATGTGTATGCATGAATATTTGCGTGATATGTGATGTGTATGCATGAATATTTGCGTGATATGTGCTTTATAGCATGAACGTTAGTTCATGCATAAATGTAATTGCACGTACTATGTTGAAAAGCAAAAAAGGAAACAATTTTACTATATTATAGTGCAGTTTTTGGTTAACAATAAAGCAAAAATGGGTGGAAACACAATTGAATTATGAAAAAGAACGGTCAAATGGTGCACGTATCCGACTACGTTCAAGTGAATTCGTTTCATTTCACTTTTCTCTCATTTTATAAATTTTGATATTGCAAACTTTTTTTGGGGAGGAAAGGGGGAGAATGTTATCTAAAAGAAGAGGAAAATGTTTTCGATTTATTTGTCCATACCTATACCTATATTTGTCCATACCTGTATCTATATTTGGAAGATATATTATTTCATAAATTATACGATAATTTTTAGGCTCTTACATTTGGAATCCATCAATTACAATACTAAATGCATTAGATATTCGATTAATTGGAAAAGAAGAAGTGGAATTATATAGCAATGGAATGGTCGAACTTATACAAAAGTTTATAAATCTTTTAAAATTTATTTTCTCACTTTTTTTGTTGTTGTTGAATTTGCATCTTAATTTTGCATATTTTATATCATTTTCAAATTTTGATTTCTAAATGAAAAGAATAGAGAGAGTAGAATAGAAGAGAAAATAGTAAACAAAATTTTTAGTAATAAATTTTTTTAGAAAGAATTTCAAACTTTTGTTATACTTTACTTCATACAACACAACAAAATTAGTAATAATAATACATTGAAGATTATTAGTAAAAACAATGGAAATTCACGAATTACATTCATTTCCATTCGATGAACGAAATTGTTCCCTAATCTTTCATAACGGTAATTATTTCTTTCTTTTAAATAAATAATTAATTATTTACGAAATTTGTTCTGTTTAATCAAAAAATAACGGAGAATTCGGAGCATTTAACTAAATCTGTGAGAGAATTTTTGCTTGAAAAGTTACAAATTTTGATAGAAACAATAATTTTTAAATGAATATAGGATTAAGAAATAGAAGGGATTGAATTAAATTTCACTTTTTAATAATTAATTTAAATGAAATAATTGGAAAATCCACCCTATTGTCTTTCTTTTAGTTTGATGGAATAATTTTAGAAGATTCACGAGCTCAATGGACAGGAATAACATCAATTACAGTATCAAAAGTTGGTTGGGGTATTTGGGTGGTACTTGGCTGTGAGCGAATTGGTAAAACTATTATTTTAAGCTTAAGGAGGTACTTTTCCAAGTTAGAAATTTTGAAATTTAGGATTTATTTTTTGTTTTAGATGAGAAAAAGAAAGTAAATGTAAATAGTCTTTTTTTTGAAACTTAATTCGATTTCTAAAATTTGCAAATCATCTTACTATCAAATTATCTTAATTAATATTAATACCAAAATTATCAATATCAATATCAAATTATCTTAATATCGGCATAATATCAAACTTCTCTAGTAAAAATATGTATTATCATTATTAATATTTTAAGCATTTCAAGTAACTATTGAAATTGTTGTTGCATTTGAATGTTTTCAAACTCTTTTTTTACCAATCTTCATTCTTTTAATTAATAATTAGATGTTAATATTTTTTACTAGAGAAATTTGATATTATCCCAGGTCGACTATGATGTGGATTTGGACATTATATGCGCCAACAAGCATTCTCTTTGTTTTTTCTTGGCTATCGCTCTGGGCTACAAATAATTCAGCCAAAAATCGTTTCGTTATTAGTACTACGAGCTTCTTCACTGTACTTATCATTGTAAGTGTAAAATTTAATGTTTACAAAAATAAGACAATAAAACAAAGAAAAGAAAACAAACCACAAATGTCTAATAATATCGTCTGTCATTCCTGACACTTTGTTATTAAGGAAAAATAATATCACAGATGAGAACACAAGAAATTTTCAAAACAGTTAAACAAGAATAATGTATGCAAATTGAAATGAACAACTGGTTCATTTGGTTTGATAAATTGCTTGAAGTCCTATAAATTGTATAGTTACCATATTTATTAACTAACTTTTTCAGAATTACTAATAAGAATGTATCTTTTAGGTTATTAGTAACAATTGGGGTGTCACACGAACATCGTATTTGAAAGCGATTGATATTTGGAACTTGCAAATTGTTGCATTTGTTTTTCTCATCGTTTTACAATCCGTTTTACTTACTAAGAAAGTGATGGAAAAACGAAAAACACCGAAACGAATATATGTAAATTATCATTTTATTTAAAACAATTTTAAAACAATAATTAATACTTTAACTTAAGCTGAGAACAATAACAATGATAATGACAATAGTAATAATAAATTGTAAAAACTTTAAATATTTTTTTAAATTTTTTTAGAATTTTGGGGATGAATGTAACGAGAAAACACAATGGTTCAACGAAATGCCTTATTATGCCCATCTACCGGAACGCCGACCGGCAGCTTTAATAAAAATTGTAGATTATATTTTCCGAATTATACTGCCAATTGCATTCCTAAGCGCTTGCATTCTTTATTTTATACATTACACATATTTCAATAGAAGTTGAAAAGATACGTTATAAAATTTATTGCAATGATCTCATTCATTGAAAAAATATTAACGTTGAAAATTTCAAATTAAAAATTGAATTCCTTTAAAAATTATTTTAATGAACTAAAAATAATATTCCTCTTTTTCTTTTGTTATAAACTTATTTCAAATAAAATATTTTTGCCATTAGGATGTATTTCCCATTAGATAGCAAATAATAATATGCAGAAGTCGATTATGTGTGGAATGTTCCATAAGAAAGTTTATTATGGCTAATCTATTATTGGTTATCTTGCTACCAAATATATATCAGCAAAAAAGGAAAAAAAACAAATGCAAGCAGATTATTGATTGTTAAGATATTTATTTTCTCAAAGGCAAATTCGAAAGCCCAATAACGGACCACGAAAATATGTTCAAGCATAAATATTCACCGAGATAATATGCTAAACTTCACAGAATTTTAACTTTCATGCAAAAAAAGAGCATAAAATTTCGTGAAAACAACAAAAATAAGAAATTAGAAGATGAATATTTAGAAACAATCACCGACATAAGTTCCAATGCTCTCTACCTGCTGCTGTTAGAAAAAATTGGCAAAAGTGACAGAGCAGTGAAATTTGCAATGGAACATATAGTTGGCATTTTAAACGATATCACATCATCACCATCATCATCATCATACAATAACCATCACATCATTAACAATGCGCTTACTATCATCTGCATTTGTTTTCAATTTCATAAATATACTTCAAAATCCTTTTCTTTGAAAAAAATTAACCTATCCAAAGAAATTTTGCTTACTAGCAAAAAAATGTCGATTGAATACTGCAGCTGTTATAAAAATTGATTGGTTTACTTGACAAAGAAATCAATTTCGACCAGACAACTTCCATTTCTCAGTTTCAAATTTTGAAAGTGCATAAAAACAGATGGAAATGAAAAAACATATAAAAAGAACGACCATTACAGTGTAACTATGAAAAATAAAATTATAAAAATAAAACAAAATAAATCATGAATATTATCTTTCATATTTTCATATTGCAAATAAAAAAGAATACCAGAATACTGCACTACTTCTTATAGCTATAAATCTCTCAAAAAAGTTGCCTAACGAATTCTTGGTTCTTTCTACGAATAAACATTGATAATATTTAATGAAATTATGCTTCGGAGTAAAAGTAGCTATAATTTTCATGCTGTGGATAACCTTTCAGTGCTGTGCCATCCTGAAACCTGGGCTGCACCATAACTAAGATTCGGAAACCTTATCCCAAATTTAAAGGGCAAATTTCAAAAATTATAGCTGCATCTCATAAACTCTTTTAATTTACTAAAATTATCGTTTTTGACCTAAATTTTCACAAAATCGAATTTACTGGTGCGATCAAATTTATGACACACTTGGAGATCAAGGAGATTTGCATAGCTGGCTCCAACCCAAATAATTTAATTTATAAAATTCTCTCTAACCTAACTATATATGTAAAATTTAAAAAAATGTTGACTTTACATAGATATTTTGTCAGGAATAATTTCCTAAAATTAACCATAACCTGTGCTGCAATTATGTGATTTATCGCACTCTTCATTGTGATGAGAGCAATCACCGGAAAGAGAAGCGTGACCAATTGAAACACCTTTCGTTATACGTTGTGGAATTTTATATGAAGGACAAAGAACAGACATCCGATGAAAAAAATTTTCTTTTTCAACCTAAAAAAATTCAACAACATAAGAAGTAGAAAAGATGATGAAATGAATTTGAAATATATAGCTAGAACTACACATGTACTCGAAATAATTCTCAATAAATACAAGAAAAAAATCATAAGACTTCCCTCAAAACACCATACAGTTTAAAAAATATGACTGTATAAAAAATGTGACACGCGTTACATAAACAAAACAATTATTTACCTGAACAGATGCCTGCGTGATATTGATCGACTTTAAATTTTTCAAAACTTTTAGTCGTATAATTTGATCATTTGCGTTATCGTCCACTTGAACATGCAAGGATGCTACGTTGAAAACAGATTTGAGTTGCCATAAATGAACATTTGAGTAAGATATGACACCCTCGATGTTTAAAATCTGTAAACAAAAAAAAAGAACTAGTGATGCTAATGTCTGGCATATGCATAATTCTACCTTAAAACGTTTATATGTTAAACTTTATCTTTCATGAACAAGCAAACATAACTGCTAAGTACACTGCTTTAACAGTTAATTATAAAATCACACACATTAATAAACTGCGCATATTGACTTCTAGAATAAAATATTATATTCTTAAAAAATTAATTTCTCGAAAATGACATTAGAATCGAAATCATTTCTTTTCCAAGCTTAAAACATTAAAAAAACTAAAGAAAAAAAACCTCATGCAGAATGTATTCAAACTCTTCCTCTATTTGGGATGGTATATTTTGCATCAGCGTAGCCATCGATTGTTTCAGTAATGGTATTACTGAACCAAGGATAAGCATCGATAAAATCAACGAGCACAACGGATCGACCCATTTCCAACCAAAATATTGAATCATAAGAGTACTGATTATCACAAACACGGAACCAAGTGTGTCAGCAAGGACGTGTAGAAAGACGCCTGTAAAGAAAAAATCGTTTGATGCTTCACTTTAACTAGTAATCACAAAAAAAATTGTTCTGTAATATCTTAAATTTTTTAATCCTCCTTTCAGCATTATTGTCGAGACAATGAATTATGCAACAGTAACACTTCTTCTACAAAGTTGCATAATTCATTTATCCTCTTTTATGTTATCCTCATTTAAAAAAAAACAAGATACTATTAACTACCATCATTTGTTTAGAACCATATAGTCTCGTTAACTAACTATAAATAAATAAACATTTTACGAAGTTAAATATCGCAATAAATTAAGAATATATAATTGCCTGTATACAGCTGATTCAGTTATAAAAATCCGCTCTCGCTTGTCTGTCAAAATTACATTAGATTTTAAATGGCCAAATATCTTATTTGTTCAGTAACATTTTTGGATCTGTTACAGTCTGAAATATCAAATAGATGAACCTTGCATATTAGCATTTGCTTCTCCATGTGAATGAGAGTGGGAATGTGAATGAGAATGTGAATGTGAATGTGAGTGCGAGATATCATCATGGGAGTGGCTGCCATCATCTCCATGAGAATGCGCATGTGTTGCACCATGAAATGCGAACATACCAAACATATTTATTATTAGACCAGCAACTGCCACTATCTAGAACACATATAAACTAAGAGTTATGAGAGCTTAGTCACCGAATAGATTACACCAAAAGATTTAAGTGATTTCATTGATTGTGCTAGCCTCGCCGACATATAGTCATATTCAGCAGGTATTACAAACAACAAAGTGACTCAGTACTCAGCATGTCTGACTCAACTAGTATGATGGCTAAAAAATTAGCAATCTGTGGCAAGTTCTCCCAAAAACATTCACGTTTGAAACCGACCTTGTACGACCACAGTTCCAGTTTGTGATCGGGAAATCAACAAACCAATTACATCGGTTCGAAATATCAAGTTAAAGATAGCAAAAATCCTTATTATCAATTTATGCCAGAACATTAAATCAATTAATAGAATTATACCATTAGTTTATCAATGCTGATATCTGGTGGGTCGTATAACCGTTCCAGCGCTTCCAAAAATATAAAAAAAGCAATAACAATGAGAAATAAAGCATTTATAAACCCTGGAAAGCAAAAGATAATATTAAGATAGCATTACATATGACTTAAATAATATTTCAATTTTAAAATGATCTCAGCTTTAAATTAATTTGAAGAGGAGTGATTTGTAAGACAAAAATCAATGACTGACTTTCGATACTTGATAAATACCTAGATAATCACTTACCTGATAATACTTCCACCCTTCCATATCCATAAGAATAATATTTTGAAGAAGACCATCGTGACATCACAGAAGCAACAAGACCCATTACCTTAAGTACACAATGCGATGTCCAAAGATTGGGTAACACCAAATTACGAGAATAGGAAATTACGAGAGTTTTTTTGTCTTGAATTGAAACTGCATATAGAAATAAAAACTTACAAGTGCAGAGCAATCAAAAAGCATATGGAAACCATCGGATATCAATCCAAGGCTATTCGTCCAGAATCCGTATAGAAATTCAATCCCACAGAATGACTGCAAAATTTCAGATTCGATATAAAAATTATTCAACAGTGTCAAGCATTACGAAATTTACTGACATTAAAATACAAGGAAAAATTTGCAACAGTAAAGGAAAATACCAAATTAGCACAGAGAAACCAAAAAATTCTACGCGAATCAGAATTCGTCAATATTTCTGCTAAAGTTTCTTTGATCAACAGCATTACTGATCTGAAAAAAATAGTTGCTAAATAGTATACACGAGTAGACACACAAACAAGTTTATTGAAGCCACAAAAGGATTATCGAATATAAATGATACAAAAAATTACATCTACATTATTCTTTAAACACTAGTTTAGATACAAGAATATGATGGAACAGAAGATAAAAGGATATATGTAAGAAAGTACCTAAACTACATCAAAAACATAATGTTAAAATCAGGTTATTCTATTAGTGTTTTTAGTAAATGATAAAATAGTAGCATATCACCAACCTTGAAGTTTTTTGCAAAAATGCTTCACCATAAGTATATAGTGGTATTCCACTGTCCGATAAGCCAACATAATATCCACCTCTCGAACGTGGACTAGTTGAGGATGTTAACGAGAAACAAGCTAAAGTGATTTTATGAACAGTTTTTTGACAACATTTCTATACAGATGCGTAAAATTTAAGGAAACAATAATTCATTAGAAAAAAAAGCTTATTACAACTTAAGAAGAAAAAAACGGAATGTAGGTTACTACTGAGTCATCTGATCACTTAAATCTATCTGATATCTGCCAGTAGGAGCACCAATAGGAATAAGAGAGTTCTATAAATGGAAGAACTCGAAATATTGGATGTTT